GTCTCACCTGGGCCATGAGGAAGTCGTCACTCTGCTCCTGGAATTCGGCGCCTGCCTGGATGGAATGTCAGAGAACGGCATGACTGCCCTGTGCTACGCGGCAGCTGCCGGCCACATGAAGCTGGTGTGTCTGCTGGTCAAGAAGGGGGCAAGGGTAAGCAGTAGCTTTCCCCACCATGGGGGAGTGATGGGGAAGGAGGGAATCCTTCACATCATTGCTAGAGTTGTCATCGCTCAGGCCAGTCTCCCTTTGTCTCTACTCAGTCTAATTGCGTAAACAGAAAGCACAGCATACACAGAAGAAGTAGGGCTGCAAGTGGCGGTCGGTTTGTGATGCTGCTTGCCATGGAGCAGTGTGGGCCATGGGTTTTGTTCATGTGCTGTTACTCTGCCCAGTATTGCCCAGGGGAAGGCAGAATACCAAGGAGCCTCCTGGCCACTAGCCACATTAGTCGGGCCAGCCTTTAAAAAGCCTGCAAGTGTTGACCTAGAACTTGGTGTAGAGTTTAACACAGCACCATGATTGGTTGAAAAGATTTTAAATGTCTGGTTTTTTCCCCCCTCTCGTTATCCCATTTCATGTCTTTTTTAAAACAGTAAAAGGAGTTCCGTGGGTCTTAAAAGCGATGTGCTTGAGCTGCAGGAACTAGACTGCCCAGATTCATCATCTCTCCACTTGCCAGCTGGGATGCTGGGCAGGTTACTGAGCCTGTGCGTGTCAGGCCTCTCACCTGTGGGACGGGCGTAACTGTATCTACCACAGAACCATTGTGTATGCATTTAATCAGTATATTAACATTCGCATGAAATAACTGTATATTATTAAACAAGTTACTCTAGAACTATCAGCATTAATAGATTAAATGAGAATGAACCCGAGCTCACAGTAAACTCTATTTAGGTTTACTATAAGCATTTTATTGGGAAATGTGTCTTTTGAATAATAGAGATTAAACCACTGATAATTGTCTTTCATCTTTTTAGTTAATTAGGATATTTAAAGTTCAACAAAAACTTGTTTTTCTCTCAAAAGTCCAACATTGGGATGTGTGAACTTCAGCTCGTGGAAGAAGGGAAATGTCACAGCTAAGCCGGAGCAGTGGGGGTGCCACACACACATCACCACACCTCCATTTCCAGATCCCGGCTGTCCCTTAGCTTTATTCTGAGGCCCCCATCTGGCTAGCTGGCTCCACCTTACATGGCAGCATGTCCCAGGTCACCTGCCTGTGCAGAGCTTCCTTCCCCACTTAGACTCCCCTGCCACTCTTCTTCATTCAGAGCTGTGTTTCCGCATCCCTCCCTTTCTCTGGCTCCCCTTACTCTGTAACCAGAGAACTGCTCTACTCCCCCAAATTGTAACTTGTCACAGCAGACTTAGAATACTACAACCACGCAACCAGGGTTGGGAAGCATAGGCTTTGGTCTGTGTCTTCGTATGTGCCCACGAGAGAACTTGGAGCTCCATGTAGTTTGCTAGAGAGACATAGGGGTGAGGAGGGTGTCTTGTGATCACTAGTCCTAAAAGGAAGCCAAGGCCTGGACCAGCGCATTCATTATCATGAAGTGACTCAGACAACAGTTCAGTGCTCTCTGGAAGGATGAATTGGGATGGGGTTTGTGCACTGTGTTTGTGGTGCCCCTATTCCCTCAGAGGAGAGGCGATGCTCACCTGTGCCCTTCCGCTGCTCCTGCCACCAGATGGACCACTTGGATAAGAAAGGCCAGTGTGCACTCGTCCACAGTGCACTGCGGGGCCATGGCGACGTTCTCCGGTACCTCCTGAACTGTGAGTGGTCAGCAGGCCCTCCCCAGCCAGGTGCACCAACGAAGAGCCAAGCCCTGCAGCAGGCACTGACGGCAGCCGCCAGCATGGGCCACAGCTCGGTGAGTGGGGTCCAGGGGTTCTTTCCTGGGAAACGGAAGCAGCAGTGGTACCCAGTGGGTCGATTTCTTTTGACAGTCGCCGCCTTCTAAGCTACAAGGCTGTGACACACTGAAGGAATGGAAGAAAATGAGGATTTCAAGAGCTAGCAAGTGGCTTTGAGCACTCTCAGTAGAAGGTCCGCTCTTGGCACCACGTCCCTCCCACCAGTGGAAACCAGAGGAGAGGCCACAGTCTCGCATGCATGCGGTGGGGACAGGCGGGTTGGTTCTTCCCCTGTGGGTTGGGCTCCCATGAGGGGCCTCTTGGTGCTGCTCATTCTCTACCCTTCCTTGTCTGTCTCTCTCTCTTCTTCCCTGTTCCACTTTTACCCTCTAGCTCTGCTGTTTTACATTTTTCCCCTTTGACTCGTTCTTTTGTCCTTGTGATCTTTTAAAAATAATCACATGGAATGCTACTTCTAAAATTATTTTTGAGTATTTGAAGGACTTTTGCAAGTAGAACTTTAGTGCTTTGATAGCATGTAAGAACGCTTGTCATTTGCAGTTCCTACACTGAAGAAAAACTTCATGCAGCAGTTAAATAGAGCATTTGTTTCTAGTAAATGTCAGTATCCCTTAATTTGAAGATTTAATTGCTGTCTCCTGACCTGTGTGTCTTAGCTTTATCTGTAAATTTAATAACATTGTTCTCGATGTCCTCCATGTATTTTGCACTCTGTATTATCTTTGAGCAATTAGAGGTGACAGTATTTGGTAAAATTCTTTCCCCAGAATGACTTAAATTTGAGTGCAAAGATGTCTGGCTGACTTCTGGCACTTAAAACATTAAAAACACACATGCACATATATATACATGTTAAATACACATATCTGAAAAGTAGATGTTTTTCCTCTTTAAACCATTGCCTAAATCTGAGTGGGTCTGTGTATTAGTCCATTCCTGTTGCTTGTAACAAAATACTTGAAACTGGATGATTTATAAAAAAAACAAAACTTATTGCTTTCAGTTTCTGAGGCTGGGAAGTCCAAAGACCATCTGGTGGTGGTGACAGTGACCCAGAGATCTCACGTTGCAAGATGGTGGAAACAGAGAGAGCAAGAGACAGGCTTTCCTCTTCTTTTAAAGCCCTCAGAACCATGCTCCTGGCCACTATTATTAATCCATTCACTAGTGCACAGTCCTGCCATCCAATCACCTCATCAAGGCCCTACCTTTCAATTACCATAATAGCATTTCCCACCCTCTTAACAGTCACGGTGGGGGCTAAGTTACAAATACATAAAACTTGGGGGACACAATTCAAGCTTCAGTGAGTTTTGGGGGACATAATTCAATCTGCTACAATCCAGAATACAGAAAATCATCATTGGGAGGTCTGTGAACGCCACAGGTAGGCATGACCTTCATCTCAACTCCTGTGTATCCCCTTATTTTAAAGCTAGCTGGGAGGAATTCTGAGCAGAAGTAACCTCAGCACAACCAGTAACCATTTAATCAAAATAAGCAGGATTCACTCACCAAAAGCCTCGAAGGGTTGATCAGTTTCCTAATGCTGTTGTAAGAAATGGCCACACACTTAGTGGCTCAAGACCATACACACTTACTCTTACAGCTCTGGAGGTCGAAGTCTAAAGTTAAGGCGTCAAGAATCCGATGTTGCTTCAGAAGGCTCTAGGGGAGAGTCTGCTTCCTTGCTTTTTCTAGCTTCTTGAAGCCACCTGTATTCCTTAGCTCGTGGCCCCCCCTTTCTGTGACCAGATTCCTCCTGTCCCTCTTGTAAGGACTGTTGTTGTTATATCAAGGTGTGTCAGATATACACCCTGATAATTCAGGAAAACCACCCCATTTCAAGACATAATCACACCTGCAATTCCCTGGTATGCATTTAAGGTAATGCTCACAGCTTCCAGGGATTAGGATGTGGACATACTTGGGGGCCGTCCTTCAGCCTCCCACAAAGGGTATGGACTGGGAACTGGAAGGTGCTCTGTTTTGTTCTCCGGCCACTGCTATTGCTCAGGGTGAACGTTGGCTCTGGCCAGAGCACAGATGCTTCCATCCCCTTGAAAGACACTATTCTTGCCTCCACTCCTATGACCTAGCCTGCTCATTAACAGGAATGTTGGAAAAGAATAGTGCTGCCAGTAGAAAAGTGATTTGGAAAATATTTTTTTAAAAAGAAATTATTGGAAAAAGGTACATATCACCTTGTTTTTCTTCCTCGTGAAAAATGGATTCACCATCTTCTGGTGATTTATGCAGAAACTGCACTTTGTGTGATCTGCCCTGTCCTTTGTTGATTAGGCTGGCATATTTGGGTCATGTTGGAATTCATTAGAATTCTAAGTACCTAGTAATCCTGAACAATGTTGCTGAAATTCACTGAGATTTTTTTTTTTTTTTAATTCTTCTCCAAGTGAAAGTGTGAGTAGCATATGAATTATGCTTGAAAATGGTTCTCATATTTTCTCTCCTTGTGCAGTATGAGATAATAATGGTTAAAAAAACACACACTCTCCTTTGATACATGGGATATAATAAGCACCTATTGCTGTGAGAACTCATTAAATCACCTTGCCACTTCTGACAGGTGGTCCAGTGCTTGCTGGGAATGGAAAAGGAACATGAAATAGAAGTCAATGGCACCGACACATTGTGGGGAGAAACAGGTAATTATGGTTCCAGGGCTTGTAGTCTGGGGCAGCTTACTTGATGTTTTAGCCCGTTTGGGCCTAATTGTCTTAAGAATGACTTGTGATGCGTGTAGTCCTATTTTTATTTTATCATGAGGCATTTGAAGCTTAGAGCTTTTTAAACTTTCCAAATGAGTAGTAGAACTTTGCTAGAAGCTTATAAAATTTGAATCATTTGCATTAAACCAGCAGTTAACTGTGCATCTGATAAATGTCAGATGGAAATACCTCAATAAGGTAGTACTTTGTAGTTTGCTAACTCCTCACATATCCTAACCAGCCTGGTCTTCCTATGACCTGGGCAAAGGAGCCAGGCAGGAACTTGCATATCTGTTTGCAAATGAACCAGTGGTGGCTTGGTAAGGAAGGCTGGCCCGCCCTGCCTTGTGGAAGGAGGGTAGAGCTCAGGCCTCACGGGGCCTACTTAATATACTGAGTATAAGCTGTGCATCCGTTTCCACTGGCCTGGGTATGTGTGTATAACTATAGTGAGAAGGAAGCCTGAGGTGAGTACATCTTAATGAAGCAAGATGTAAGTTGGTTACTTGTCACATTAATGTAGATAATGCCTTGAAATTTTCCACTTGACTGAAATTAGTGTTAGAAATCTAAGACTTAAAATTATGAGTCGTTTTTTAATAAATGTAACTAAGAGTGTTTAATATGCATTTCCAGGTTATGTTCTGTGTGTGTACATAGTGCATATGATTTCCATTTCTCTTGCACAGATTTGTTTCCAGGTGCTTCTAAATTATTTCCTAACAAGCCAAATGGTGGTGTGGAGAGGTTATTAGCTAACTCACACTTATGAAAAGCCTGTGAGGTGTTGCTGGAGGGATTGCAGGCTGCCCTGCGAGCCTCATGGTTTCCCCTTGCTCATTGTGGGGCCAGAGGAGGAGCTTGGCGTGGCCTGGGCTACAGAGAAAGCACAGGACTGCAAATGGGGTTGGATTATGCTGAGAGCCAAAGTGTGTATATTAAAATGTTTATGGAGTCCTTCCCCTACCCTTTTAACTTGTAAAATCTGTTCCATACTTTGGTGAAAGAAAAGTTTCCATCAACTTCCATGTTGCATTGTGGGCAGCAGTGCGGCTGAGGGGGTAAGAACGTGCCTTTGCTGATAGCCAGAAGGTGCAAATCCTTGCACTTCTGTTGCCTCGTTTAGCAACTGGACAAGTTACTTTTCCTCCTTGTCAGATGAGGTAGAACCTGACTTCTAGGATTGTGATGAAGACTAAAAGAGATAACAATCTTGCCCAAATGCACCCCTGATAAGAATCTCTGGGGCACTTACACCTAGATATTCTGATTCACTAGGTCTAGGGAGAGCCCAGGACTCTTGTTTTCTTAACACGCATCAAGGGACTCATAGCTTCAGGAAAAATAGAGAACCACCACACAGTCACCTAGAATGCCTGACCTTTGGTGGCATGCAGTGAGAGGTACCCATGATGACGATGGAGGTTAGTGCTAGTGGTAGTAACACCACACATCTTCAGATCACTTTGCAGCCTGGGAAGCAGTTTCTATCCTTCCTCAGCAGATATTAGGGTGAATTTCATCAGCCAAGAGTTTATTTGAGGGACTTGTAAAAATTTAAACCAAGAAAAGGCAAGCTGAGACTATTTTTAGAAATAGAAATAGAAAGCCACAGTGGCTCTCTATGGACTTCATGTCAGTAAAACCAATGTTACCTTCTCTGTGCATCTTTCTCTCTGATACCTTTCTCTTGTGTTCCTTCAAAAATGGTCACCATTGTCTGCTGCCCCAGACCCTCCACTTTCCAAGTCTGTGTTTGTGAAGGGAGATGGGGCTTTACATGAATGCATGCTGCAGTGTCCAGAATGTGAGGTCTATGTTCAGGATTTGGTCCTGTGGGGCCCATGGTACCTGCCCCCAAGTGTGGGAATGACAGCAGATGAGGCATGTGGCAGCCTTCTGGAGCACCCACTGGCTGTGGCCTGCAGAGGGCTGAAGGCCTTGCTAATGATCGTGTGAGCAACTGGGGTCCTAGTTCCCACCAAGCCGCATTGTCAGGTAGCGGGTCCTGGCAGTTCCCCGGATGGTGGGGGCTGCACTGCCATGTGCATTGTTTCTAATTGCTGTAGGAACCCTCAGCAGTGACAGTAGTTGTTTTGCTTCCTGGTCATGTTTGGTCCTGATTCCAGGGTGCAGTCAGTAGTCCACTCTAGAACGGACCTTGTCTGTCTCTAGCTACAGAGCAATGATAGGATCCCAAGAGTGACTCCTGTCTGGGGTGTGGGAAGCTGGCAGAACAAATGAAAGCTTTGCATGGATAAGGCCAGTTCATCATCTGTCTTCAAACCCTTATATACGTTTATATAAGTCTATTCAGTGTAGGCTTAGCTGTAAACAGCTTAGCTTTAAAATGCCAGCTGATGGGTTACAGGCAGGGTCTCCTCAGTCTGTTTTTGGCTCACCTGCCCATCTTTGAAGGGCCCATTGTTTTCCATGCAGTGATGCCCCCTTTTGGGAGCACAGCTACTTGCCCATGTCTTCTCTCGCTCAGTCACATTCCAGAGGTGGGGGTGCCACATCCTTGCACCAAGTAACCCTCCACTTTCCTGCCAGGAGAGATCCTGGAATCCCAGCATGGGGTCTGCTTTGCATTGCAGAAGTGTGGCTGAAACCTGTTGCTGACTGAAACAGTGGGTTCTCAGTGAGAAGTGATGCCAGCTGCCAGCCAGGGAACAGGGAGCATAGGCCATTGGTGTGGGGTGGTCGGGCATGGACAGTCTTGGACCCTGAGCATCTTGCTGCTGGTAACTCCAAGTCACCAAATGTCATCACAGAAGGGGATGGTTCGTATCTTAGGTTTAAAGAGACAAGAAAGTATATCATAGGTTTTTAAGACATTCATCTGAAATGGAAGCTGTTCAGTTTGGGGCTTTATTACAGTAAACCCACAGCTTTTAGAAAACTTGCAGACCATCTCTACCAATTTTGGAGAACAGAAGGCTTAACTTATGTAAGTTTCCCTAATCACCAGCTTTCAGGGCCATTTGCTTGCTGTTTGATGTTTAGAGACCAGCCCTTCAAAAATCAGTTCTATAGTTCCAGTCTCCCTTTAGCTCTTCTCCCCCGCCCCCAAAGGCTATGATGGAGAATAAGAAGGCTTACGACCCATCAGGAGAACGCTCACAGCAGATGAGCCCCTGCACCTAACAGCGCTGCCCTCGAGGCTGTGACATTCAAGACTTGGTCAGGTGCTGCTGGCCCATAGTTTCTGGGTGGCCTGAAACATGGGAAGAACCCATCAGATGCTGGTGTTCTCTCCGTTCCAGGCATTCCACAGCCATGATGAGTCAGTGCTGGCTCCCACGAAGTCCCAACCAAACTGCGTTACTCTTTCCATGTCAGTGTTTGATGTGAGTCAGCCCAGATTGTAATGACTGGAGATGGTGACCTCCTGCTGTGTGAGTTGTCAGGACTGTGTTTCTAGGCTCCGGGCTGCACTTCTGCTCAGGACTTCTCGCTCTGAGAGGAAGGGAAGAGAGGCCGGCTGTGCCGGCGTGTGCTGCTCGTGCAGGCGCCGGTCTGGGAAGCACAGCCTCGCCTCCGCAGCTCCAGGCTCGCTGTGCAGTTCCCTTCTAGACTTACCACTGATAATTCTTACTGTTGATGTTGCTTATTTAATACGAGGCTGTTTTTCCCAAATTGCAGGCTTCATAGGGGCAGGAATTTTTGTCTTTTTTTGCTTACCTGGGTGTGTGGCAACTGTTCAGTCTAGTTCTGTCCAATAGAACTTTCTGTAACTGAGTACTTAAAATGTGACTTGTGCGACTGAGAGAACTTAAAATAAGATTTTAAAATCTTATCTTAATTTATTTAAGTTTAAATATATGTGACTAGGGACCACTGAATTGGACAGTGTAGGCATAGTTCAGTACTTGTCACATATGTGCTGACCAAGTGGATTTAAATTTAGAAAACAAAGCCATATAATTTTTAGGGCATGTGATGTTCACTTTGCAGGAAAATCTGGGTGAAATACTTATTGGTGGAGGGGGTGTGAGGGGGAGATGGGGTGGGTAACCCAGTACCCTGTAAGGGACAGGACAAAGGGGGGTAACCGGCACTGGGGGAGGGTGTTACCCAGGGCTCTAGATGGAGGGGGATAAGCATGGGGGTCACCTAAACAGTGGAGGCAGATGAGGGGTGGAACTGTGGGGACAGGGTTTGTTCCCTTTCTGCTGGGTTTGCCCCTGATGCAGGTGTGTTCTGGAGACTGCTCCTCTTGCTAAGAGGGCAGTAGGGGTCAGCCAATCTGTGTGTCCCTGCCCTACAGGGCAGGCTGAGAGGCCGGGGTGAGCATGTTGAAAACACAGAGTGCATCTTGCCACATGCAAATTGGTAGCTTGACCCCTTCGGTCAAGTTGTATTTGCTGTATGTGGAGCCTGTCTCTCTACTGAGTAGTGTCTGCCTATTTATCTAATGAAAACAAAACATAACACTCTGCCTTCCACAGAAAACCTTATGCTCATTTACTCATCTACATTTTGGTAGCTTAGAGCATCTTCACCTACAAACACGGTTGTTTGTTCTTTCAGTCATTCAGTCCTAGAAGTCCTAGAAGGTTCATCTGCACTTTTGCAGAAAAATCATAATTGCTTCTTTCAAATTCTTGAAATGATACTTGGATTCTTTCTGGTTTTTTGAGACCAGAAATGAAATTGTATAACGTGGCTTTGTGAAAATGCCCCCTTTCTCCTCTGAAGCCTCGTGTGGTGTCCTGCACACAGCCAAGTCCTCCTCAGCCCGTGCTTAGCCTTTAAGGAGAGAAGGAAGAGCCGAACATTATTCCTGCTTTAAATCATTTCTATCAAAAGTGCAAACATTCTCAGCACACTTTAGAAGTGACAGCTGTCAAAGCCGCAATCTTCTGATGGATTTTAGAAAGTCTGTGTGCTTTATGTTGTCTGTGTTTTAGGAAATTATTTCTGCATTGAACTTA